TTTTAATATAATTTATTTATTAATAAAAATAGATTAGGGTCAAAATTTTCTAGCCGATCACCTATCTTTAAAAAGTCTGATCTGCCGATTACGATCTTTTAAAATAACTGACTCTGTGTTACAAGGTCACAAAATACTGTTAATTTTTTAATCTTATTTTATTGAAAAACATTAAATAATACCCTTGAAAAAATACAAACTTGCTTCAACTGGACACTGGGTAGTGCTCACAACAGAGCAAAAGGGAACAGTGACTGATTTTCAGACCTTTGTGCACCCCTGCTGGTATCCAAATTATTTACTGTGCCACACTCAGTGGTCTGTAGTTGAACTCCCCAGCCTAAGAGGMATCAACAATCCACTGGTCTGTCAACTGTCTTTTCAGAAGAAAAAAAGATGGAAATAAAACTTCAAGTTTTTTTTTTCCCCGATAATTCAACACAGTGTTTGTGTCCTTGTGGTCCCTGAGAGATATATTATCCAGTTGTGGACAAGAGCAAAGGTCCTCATGCATCATTTCTTTAAACCAAGTTTTGTGTTGTTTATATTGTTCTGCCTGTTGTTGGACTTGCAGCCATGCTTATGTGATTGGTGTCACCTTTGGAATAGGAGCATAATTAATGCACATGGTGTCATCACAAAAAAATCTGGGCTACACATAATTGTCTGCTGAGGGACCTGGCATACTATCATGGACAAGTAGAGATAATCAAATGTAATTTTAAGTAGTTGTGGTTACTAGGAAACACATGTGCAATACATGCTGCTGCATATTATGCAATAAAGAGGAAAATTGCAGGTGCTGTGCAACTGTGCTGACATGTTATTAGTGCTTAGAAACAGGGAGTGTGGTGTCTGAACCTCGAAGTTTTATTTCAGTTTTTTGAAGATAATTGGGTGTAGTTGATGTCTTCAAGTCATGATTTTCTGAGTGCATTGGATTGCTTTGCAGTGTGAAGCATAACTGATGAGGGTCCACCGATGGAATTTCAAAACCACGGTTCTTGTCAAATGTCAAATTCTCCCTCAGTGTCGACGATAGGTGCCTGCCTCAAAAGAATGAGTTCCCCTAAACACTCTGGCATTAAAGGTGGAGAGCAATATACATTACCTTTTGTAATAAAAGGCCTTTAATTTAAAACATACACACAATGAACACATTTTATATTTAACTGGAGGATAAAAACAAAGACACAAACATCAAGCTACTAAACAAAATGACAACAGTTAGTGAAAGCAAAACAATTAAACATTACTAATTGTAATATGATGGGATTGACAAAATTTGGTAACCTATTCTAGTAATTCATTAATTTAGGAGACAAAAGGAGTGAACAGTCATCCTTGACTCAAGGCAGCCATCTGCTGGTCTGTAATTTTTATTACAGGTGCATAATGGAAGTGTGGCTGTCCTGATATACAGAATATATTAGAAGCTTTCATCATAAATATACTTCTTTATTAATAAAGAAACTACTTTTGTATAAAGTCATAATAATAGATAAACGTGATTTATTCTAAATTAAATGAGCAAAAATTGCACAAGTACCAATACTTGGGCAATTCTAAGACAAAATGCCTATATTTGAGGGTAACTGGTGCATTTGGGGACAAAAGTTGAGTCCCCATTTGGTTTAAATGCCATTGTGGGGTTGGGGGTTGGG